ACTATCGACGCTGTGTTCGGTCACAAATTAGCGCTCGTCCGATGTCACACACACACAAGCGCTCGAATCACACTCGTAATCTGCTCGTAAAATAGAAAAGGTAGTCGCCAGCAATAGATAATGAGAGCAGCATCGTCACCGTCGCTGCTGTACAAGGCTTAATAAATCGGTGCTTGATAGTCAATTCTATTTCAGTGTGGTGGTGATGTGATGTGCGCTTTACGACGATAGGACCTTTAATTTAGAAATTTCTCGATAAAGGAACGACGACTGCAGGTAGAGAGATTAACACTGACGATAAGGTGACATCGCTTGCCAGAGCAAATTAGCATCATTTCACAGCTCGGCGACAGACAGCAGAAGTAATCGGAGAATTCGCTGGCAGGTCGCACAAGTGCGATAAGCACTGCTTGGGCACAGTGTGCGCCACCAGGTATCGATCAAAGCGCCAATGCGCTATTTAGCAGCCTACTTGACAAAGTCTTGAGGCCTCACTACTACCTCATCACCACCACCACCACACTTGCCAGAGATAATCGCACGAGTGGGAGAGAAAGAAGAAGAAGAAGAGAAGAGAATAATCGAGCATACTAGAAGAGAGGAACAGATGCAAACAAAACACTTGACGAGCGTCAAATTGGATTCGATCTGATCGGGAGAGGAAAGCTAATTAGCCCAACTCATGCTCACACTGTCACTAAGCACACTGCACCAGCCAGGGTAGAATACCAGACTGCTGCTGCTGAAGAACTGCCATAGCCAGGCAGCTTTGCTTGCCTGTTCGCTCGCTCGCTGGCTCCGTCGTCGTGGTCGCGACGGGCAAATCTATTTGGCGCCAGGCGAATTCTTCCTCGCTCCACGCACAGGCAGGCAGGCAGGGGGAGAAAGGCAGCAACTGCAAAGTGGGAAGGCAGAGTGGCCAACCGGCAAATAAATAAATCTGTGCCCTAACTATTCTTGACGGGCGCAGCCAGTCAGGCAGAGGACAGCAGATAAAGCTGATGCTGCTTCTGTGGTTTGATGATGTTGATGGAAGCTACACAGCCATCATCTCGCCAACTGCTCTCGGATGCCAGATTCCCCCCCCCTCCTAATTCGAAGAAGCCTTATTGTTGCCCGGTGGTAGCGGTGATGCTGATGCCTTCGGTGCGGGCAGATGCGCGCAGATCCGTTCGATAGCATCGCCGAATCCCTGGGCTGACGACCAGCAGAAGTGAAGAGGACAGTGTTGAGGACATGCACATACACACAACTAGCTTTCCTCCTCTGCTTGGCTAACCTTTGACACGGCAACTTTGTCACAATGGTGGTGGTGGTGGTACTGAGCTGCTGCTGCTGTTTCTGCTAGAGAAAGTAGCATGTCGCAGCATGTTGCAGTGAGCACGCATTTAATTGCCCTTAAATTAGTCTGACCACCCATTTGATGTGACGCAAGATTAAGTTTGCCAACCAGCAGCAGCAGCAGCGTAAAGACAAACATAGTCACAGACACACCAGCACCAGCAAACCAGTGGGAAACTGAAGAATACGAGCTGGCAAACTAAGGCTGCTGCTGTTTCTGCTACACTCAAGTGCATCACTAGGCTGGCCACAGGCATTTAGAAGTCATTAGGCAGGCTCACACACACAGCCAGGCAGCCACCAGAACAGTCACTTTTTTGAAAGACTAAACTTGCAAGAACATCAAACACTAAAACTAACACACTGACAGCGGGGACTATGTATAGAACAATGAGCCTGGATAGAAGCGTTCAAACACCATCCACTATCATTTCAGCCAGCACCAACAACAGCAGCACTTCTACTTCTACTCACCGACGTTGTCCAGCTCCAGGAGCGGGTCGTCCGTGGGCATTGGCTCCACTTCCATTACGTCCAGACCAGCGGCGGCAATCTGCTTGCTCTTCAGCGCCTCGTACAGTGCCTTCTGGTCGACGACTGCACCGCGGCTGGTGTTGATGAGAATGGCCGAGGGCTTCATCTGGCGAAACTGCGCCTCGCCGAGGAGATGCTTCGTGGAACTGTTCAGCGAGCAGCACACAATTACAATATCACTTCTGGCGAGCAGATCATCCAGCGCCGAGCAGTACACTGCCCCGTACTCTTTCTCATTTGCAATTGCCGGCGATCGGTTGCGGGTGTTGTAGAGGACTTGAGCCGGCTGAAAGGCCACCAGACGCTGCATGATGCTCGCGCCGATGCGACCGGCGCCGACAAAGCCGACGACGCTGCCCTTGACCATGCCACCGCACATGAAGAAGTGTCCCCAGCCTGGTAGCCACCGTTTCCTGTGTTTGGGCAATAAACGTTTGCGTTAATGATATTATTACTATGGCAGTATGCAGTTTCCATGTTTCACAACTGACAGTGTTTACTGTTTCACAGAGCAGGGCAGCATAAATTTTGAGTTAGTGCAGATCAGAAAAGAGGAAAGCACCAGCACCAGCAGCACCATTGTGATGCACTGTCTCGTGTGATCGTGTAGCAGATGATGACCAAACTGCAGCCAAGCGGCAGCCAATTACCCGGTGGCATCGACCGACTTGCATTTTCAATGAGTCCACTTGTGCCGACGACTACTGCACGAATGCAAAAAAAGTAGTTCACATTGTTCCGCCTGTGGTCGATTATGCAATGGCGCGTCATTTGGCAGTGCCTGGATCGATCACTGATTCATTCAGCAGCCTGCCAGCCGAGACAATGCTCTTTTCAGCGACTTTGCCACGCGAACCGCCCCCATCGCAAGGACAATCACATTGCTGCTGCTGCGACTGAAACATTGTGTATGTGTGTGGCACGAATGAAGTGAAAATGCAAATTAGCAATCGCTCTCACTGATCAGAATCAGTGGTTCAGGCAGTGTGAGTGTGTGTGAGTGCGTGTGATGAGCAGTGAAGATGGCACCGACTGACAAACAGACCAACAGACAGAGAAAAAGACACACTTGCACTTGCTCCTGCACCAAGTGGAGGGCGACACTAAATTGAGTTCAAGTTTCAAGAGCAAACTCACAAACTCGGGGAAAGCATTAAATTAAATTAAACATTCCGAGCAATTGTGCATGCAGAATGGCACCGTTTTGGCCGAGAGAATAGACAAGGTTTGTGACAGAAAGAAACAGTCTACCACAGGAGAAGCGCGCAAATCGAATAATAAGAAAAAGAGGGTTTGTTAGTGGTAGCGGTGGTGGTGGTAGTGGTGGTGGTGCTTTTCTAGTGAAATCAAATAAAGATGCCAGGCAGGCTCATTTAGCATCTCATTTAGGAGACATTTACATGTTACCCGAGCGCGAATAAATCAAGGCTACTCGAGAAGAGCAAAGGGCACAGTGAGAGAGCGATTCACTTAGGTCGCACTGAGGTAGAATGTCTCTCTCAGAGAGTGTGCGTCTGCGAGATTCAGAGCTCAGACAGAAAGTCCTGTCCGCTGCTGCTTCTGCTCTTTGCTGCTGCTGCTGTTGCCAGGACAGCACCACCATTAGGCGAGCATCGGATATTTACATTGGCCGTGAAACTTTCACAGCATGAGTCTGTCGCCAGAACGCGAGACAAATGCCATTAATCTTGCCTGTCGAGAGGTGATGCAGCAGCAGCAGCAATGGAAAAAGAGGCCAGCATAGCCAATGGCCAATCAAAGGTGAGGGAAAGAAGAGACAGAAAGAAGCCATGAAGGTAGCCTTCTAATGCTCGAGAGAGACCAGTTGACCGAGCGAAAGAATCACCCCTCAAAGTGGCAAGTGGACAGCGGCACACTCAGTGCACATGGCCAATTAGACGGTAATCAGCGGCGATCTAGGGATCGATGCGCCACTAATCGACCGTTCGAACCCTTCCTTCTCGTAGACATCGACACAAGCAGACTGTTAAGACGGAGTTAAAAAAAAGAAGCTTTCGGTGCAGTCAATTTCAGTCTCAGCAACAAACGGAGTCAAAGAAGAAGACGAAGAAAAGTCGCACAGTCAGAAAAGAGAGTTACTGGCGGTGGCGGCCGTAGGGGAGCCGTTAACTTTAGCTCGCCTGAAGATGAAAATCGCGATAATTTATGACGTGTCCGCTCGGTGCTGCAAGTATCATATTTAGATTGTTTTGACAATTTGCGAGCTCTCAAAGACAATGTCTCTCCCTCCTCGCTGCTGTGCCGTGTCTGCAAAGTCAGAGTGGCGACAAGTGATAATCGCAATTTATGGCCTGCTTCGACTAATGCGCTCTCTCCTGTCATCCCCTGTACTGAAAGAAATAAGTGACTGCCATTGCTGCTGCTGATGATTCCTCCTGTAAATAGCCCGGCTCGGTGTTGTCTTTCACCAGCACTGCCACGGCTACTGTACTACTGTCCTGTTGAGAGAGGGTGGGGAAGGGGCTGCAAAGACAATATATAAAATGGACATCACACAGTGTCTGACAGAGATGGACAGTGCTGATGATGGTGGTGGTAGTGCTTGTAGTGACCACTCTAGTGGGCACCACACACAAACACACAGACTGGACATTGGGCGATGTCAGATGATACAAGTATTCTACTGACCACTCCACTTTGCTTGTGGCCTGGCTAAAAAGCCCTTCGCGGTCACTACTGGTCGCTTCTGTTGATAGTCGGCCACCATCAACAGCAGACTGGTGTGGTGAGAAAGTGCCTGCCTTCCTCTGCATGGGTCAAGTGTATTCAATTACCCGAGGTGACACTTGATAGTGCAAAGTCAAAGACCAATCGACACCCAGGCACACAATTAAGAGGGCAATTAAAGACGGCAATGGGCTGGCTGAAATTTATGGCTACTTATTGAAAAGTGAGACACTTCCACATGCCACTGACGCACAAATACACACTCACATTGAAATTTATGGCTTCGATTAGCGGGAAAACAGCAGCAGCAGCAGCAGCAACGGTTCTCAGCTCCAGCACAGTCTGGCAGCAGGAGATGAACGGACACACAGAAAAGCATCAAGTGTCTCTACTTACTCTCTCAATGCTTTATGAGCTTCGAAGAATCGTCGCAGTGTAGCGAGGAGCAAGGCCATGGTCAGTTCCGCCACGGCATCTGTCAAAATAAGAAGAAAACGAAGCAGTTGATGAGAAACAGTACACACGTCTTCGGTCGATCGATCGACAGACCGACGACCGATTCTAGGAAGCAATTCAGCAGCTGCAATCTGAACTACTATACCTGTCAGAACGTCGGGAGTGTTGCCCACAAGGACTCCACGNTACGGCATCTGTCAAAATAAGGAGAAAACGAAGCAGTTGATGAGAAACAGTACACACGTCTTCGGTCGATCGATCGACAGACCGACGACCAATTCTAGGAAGCAATTCAGCAGTTGCAATCTGAACTACTCTACCTGTCAGAACGTCGGGAGTGTTGCCCACAAGGACTCCACGGCGACGACACTCATCCACGTCAATGTGATCGTAGCCGACGGAAAGTGTAGAGACAATTTTCAGCTGCGAACCAGCCGCCTCCAGCAGTTCCCTGTCCACCTTGTCGGTGAGGGTGACCAGGAGGCCGTTCTTCCCCTTCACTCGCTTCAGCAGGCAATCACGACTGATGTCTTCCGCTTTCTCCCACATGTCCATCTGGTAGTGGGCAGAGAGTTGCTCGTAGTACTTTGGAGACATGTTCTTCGTCACCAGAAAGGACGAAGCGGAAGGATTGGCAGCGGTAGAGGTCATCTTGAGGCTAAAGTGTTGTGGAACTGTGGCGGCGAGTCGAGATGCGAGAAATGGAGAGTTTGCTGAGACAGCCGCTGATGCTGCTGTTGCACTTCTTCTCAGACAGCAAATCATTCAGCCAAGTGCTGATATGCTGGTGGTAGCAGTGAGCTGAAGTGACCTTGGTAGCGAGCAAACGGCGGTGGTAGAGGTCGATAGTGTGAACCTAATCCAATTGATTAGCAGCAGAGCATCAGCAGCAGCAAAGGCAGCGGCGCCGGCTTCAGTGCATCGGTGACAACAACATTAGCAGCTGATTACAGAAAACAGCGGCAGTCTGACGTCACTGGCGCAATCGCAGAGCGCCTGGCGACACTGAAAAGATTCACACTGAACACAAGATGCCGACACTGGGCGATGCTCGCAGTTCGGATGCGGCCAGTGGAAAAAATTGAGAAGACTGAAGGGACAGCTAAAGAACATATTGCACAGCGAAGAGGGCAGGAATTTCGTTGTACTGTAACCTAAATCGAAACATCAAACAGCCTTGGCGGCAGTGGCGGCCTTCTCTGATCCACTAATGTCAACTAATTGAGGCGCCTAATATTTGCGGGACTTTTATTTTGCCGTTTTAATAAATCGCGCCGGCGGTGTTTCTTTCTTTCTCGCTGTCTACTACACCTTGTTTCCTTTCTTGTTTCAGCGCCGTCATCATTGCAGGATGATGCGGCCACTTCCACCGACACTACCACCATTAATCAACTTAGTGCACCTGATGATGGAAAAGTGGGCAGTTTGGTGAGTGATAATTCACTCAGTGCAGCAAAGTGAAGAGAAGGCCATAGAAGGCTGCCACAATCACTACTACTTCTACCGATTACGATGCTGAAAAATATGAAAATGAAAATCAGTTTGTAGACATCGATACTCCCGAGGACACTAGAAGACGACAATTGGGCTCAATGTGCTCTGATGCTACTCAGAAGTCATTTACATAAACTGTCTCGGGAGAAAGGTATAATTAAAAAGAATAGAACAAACACGACACGGGCGGGAAGGGAGAAAGAGAGGGAGAGCAAGGGAGGGGAGACCACCGCGACGAAACAATTAGGCGACCGAATATTAATAAAATGTCGATTCTCGAGACAGCACAAAACGGTGGCAGTCTCTTCAAAAACACAGCAAAAACTATGATGGCGCCCACTGATGAAAAGTGGCTTTCTCTCTCTCTCTCTGAAAGACTGGGGCAAAGGTAAACCAATAAATAATAACAATAATTATATCCTCATCGACAGTGGATGGCGTCACCAATGAAGAGGGGAGGAAAGGGAGGAAAGACGGCGCCAAGTGCATTTGCATTTACAGGCCACGGGAACACACTGGGAGTCATCATTAGAAATGAGTAT